AGACAGAAAAACATCAATTTGATGTAGTGGTGGGAAATATTGAATCAGTACTTTAGGCTATTAACATTCATTTTTTTTTAAATAAAGCCTACAAAACACATTATCACACACCAAATGAACAGTGTTTTCATTATTAAAAGATTTCCATAGTAGGCTCCAAGCCTACGCGCACCTCAACTGAAACTTACCAATTTCAGTCAACCCTCCCAATCAGGGAACAGAGTAGCCTATTTGTAGGGGAATACTGCTCCAGAGGAAACATGTCTTTGAATGTTATGTTAGTGAAGCTAGTCTTTCCATCAATATTTATGTGAAATGAACAACCAAGAATGACCAAGGTTTAAATATTGAAGGAAAACTAACAGCACTAAACACTAACAGAAATACTGCTAAAAGGCTTCCGTACAGATTGGTTATAATTAAAGAAATAAAATTAAAAACTGGAAAAAAATCAATTTGGATTAATATTTTCAAAGGGACTTGAAGTTACTGTATCCATAAGATAAAAATAAGAGACTATCTAGTGGAACAAGACTAAAAAGAAAAATCACCTTTTAGAAAAAATTGATGACATATCTATCTGAAAGGAAGAGACAATTTGTCATTATCCACAGACATACTGTGTATATCTTCTATGAAGACAAAGCAAGAGACTCGATATTGAAACATTAATAAAATTAGAGTATTATAAGGCAGAAAATATAACATCAATAAACATAATCAATAGTTTTACTAGCACAGGTGAGAGACACTGTTTGGCTTCCCCAACACTCATTTGTGTCCCCCTTCTTCCTCCTTGACTTGCTTGCCACCTGGAAGTGGCCATGTGACATAGGACTGGTGGGTGAGAAGCAGGTCAAGTCTTCTGAGGAGTCTTTTGCATTTCTGATACAGGCATCGTAAGTTTTCCTTTGACTTCTCCTTGTTGGAATGCAGACATGGGTCATCTTTTGAAGATAAGACCACAAAAGGCAAAAAAAGAAATATATCCTCTGCTATCATCAAGCTGCTAAATCAACATTGGTACCTACTTACATTTAAACTTTTTGTTATGTGAGCGTTACAATTTCTCAATTTTTCAAGCCATGGTTGAGTTTTCTGTTGCTTGTGGCCAACCATTTCCTCCTGGATACACATGTAATAACTAATGCAGTGGGAAAAGGATTTCATGCACACAGAAGTGAGAACTATATCATTAGAAATAAATGCAAGAGGAAATATACAAACCCATAGTGAGAAAACTAGAATAAGAAAGGATTGAAGAAAATCAATAGTCTAGTTTCTGACTGCAAAGACTTCCTATGATAAAGATTTTAATCCTTAATCCAATATAATACCAATTGAACTTCCAATAGGTTCTTTCATAGAACTTGACTGGCTGATTCTAAAATCCATCTGAAGAAGAAAATGGACAAGAATAAAATCTTGCCTATTATTTTTTTAGAAAACTACAAAATGAAGAATATTTATCCTATCAGATAATAAGTATACTATGAAGTGCTATTATTTAAAACAGTAAAAAAAACCCAACAGTGAAGGAATAGGTAAATATGCTAATAAAACAAAGAAAATCTGAAAACAGCTCTCTCTCTCTCTCTCTCTCTCTATATATATATATATATATATATATATATATATATAAAATTTGGTGTATAATAAGAGTGGATATCCATACATGATATTAAGAGATGCAAATAATCAGTCAGATGTGATGGCATACACTTTTAATCCCAGCTACTCAGGATGCTGAAGAAGGGGGATTGCGAATTTGAGGCTAACCTCAGCAGTTTAGCAAGATACTGTCTCAAAATAAATTTCAAAACCACTGGGGATGTAGTTCAGTGGTAGAGTGTCCCTGGGTGCAATTCAGTGCCATAAAACATAAATAAATAAGTAGATAGATAAATAAATAAATAAAAGAAAGAAATGAAAAGAAAAAGGAAGGCAAGCATCCATTTCATTTCACAAGAGTAAAGTTTGTGCACTATATTGTATCACACACATAAATTCCAGATGAAATAAAGAGCTGTATATAATAAATCAAATCTTTAAATCACTGGAATAAAACAAATGAAAATATTTTAAAATTCATATAAAGGTAAAGATTGAGATAGAGGGTTATCATAAAGACATTGTAAATGAAGTTGAAACAAACTAAGAAAATGTTTTCAACATCTATAGCAGGACAATATCAACACCAATAATTGTGGAGTTATTATAAATCAATAAAATAACATACCCAATTATAAAGATTATATACAAGCAAGACAAACATGAAGGCATATGAATAGCTAAAATCTCATTAATAGTCAGGAAAATTAAAATTAAAGAGTTTTTCCCATCAGGCTAACAAAAGTTGGACAGCAAGTTAATATACAATTGTCAAGGGGTAGAAAATTATATACTCTCAAACACAGTTGTGTTTTAGGGATAAAAGATTAGATACACAGACACTTTTTAATTTATGATGGGGTTTGAGACAGCTATTCAGTGCCGTGACCAAAATACCTAACAAGAACAACTTTGATGCGGAAAAGTTTATTTTGGCTTATGGTTTTAGAGGTCTCAGTCCATGGTTGACTGACTCCATTGCTCTAGGCCTGAGATTTGGCAAAACATCATGGCAGAAGGGAATGGCAGAGGCAAGATTCTCTGCTCATGGCAGCCAGGAAACAGGCAGGCAGAAGCCCAGATGGAGTCTAAGCCCATGCCCTAGTGATCTACTACCATACCCTACCTGCCTACAGTTACTACACAATAATCCAAATGATTAATCCACCAAATGAATTATTAATCAACTGATGAGGTTGATTAATCCAATGTTTTCACCTCTGAACATTGCTACGTTGCCCAACACATGAACTTTTGGTAGAATATCACACTATATATTGCTAACCCAAGAAAAGATAACCCAGAAAAAATTCAAAATATGAAGAATGATTTCTATTGAATGTGTAGGCTTTTGCATCATGGTAAAGTTGAAAATTGTAAGTTGAACCATGGCAAGTCAAGGACCATGTGTATCTATCCATATTGAAAATGTACAATGCATTTGACCAAGCAATTTAGTTCTACCATTCATCTTATCATCATAGTCAATGTCCTGGAAAGAATATTCTGTATCCACATTCTCATCTCCCACTCACTTTTTGACTTTCAGTAGTAGGGCTTATTACCTTCATTTCACCCCCAATTCTGTTAAAAACCCTTCTAGTGGAAGTCTCAATTATCTAATTGTCATACATAATGAAATACTTTGAGTACTTGTCCTTGAAATAGTTGATGTTGTAGATCTTTGTTGATATCATTTTTTCCTTTGAATTCTAAGAGCTTCACTCTTTTTGTCTCTTCTAACTGGAAATTTCTTTTGTTCACTCCTCTTTCTTTGACCCTACAAATCTGGCATTCCCCAAGGATTATTGCCTTCCTTTTTTTCCCCTTTCTCTACATGCTCTCATTGGGTAAAGTCGACCTATGGCTTTAATTTCTAACAGTTTCAACATTCTAAAATAACTAATATCTTCAGCTCAGACACCTTGATTGAACTCTGGATGCTTATGCCTCCTTTCTGACATCTCTACAGGATCACTTTATATACATTTCAACAGTCTCAATAACATGTTGATTTCTCTCCATTCTTTGTCTTGATGAACACTCTACTGTTTACCTGGTCACTGTAGCTAGAATTCTGGGAATCATCTCAGATTCTACCATCCTTTACCTCTCACAATCTATTAACAAATCCTATACATTCATTGTTATACCTCTCATATCCACACGTTACTCTCTTTCCCCATAACAAATACATGAGTCCATGCTCTCATCACACATTTAAGAGACTCTTGCTGGGTATGGTGGCACATGCCTGTAATCCTGGTAGCTCAGGGGCTGAAGCAAGAAGATCGTAAGTTCAAAGCCAGCCTCAGCAACTTAGTGGTTCCCCATCTCTAAACAAAATATAAAAAAAGAGCTGGGGATATGGCTTAGTGGTTAAGCACTCCTAGGTTTAATTCCTGGTATAAAAGGGAGGGGGCGGTTTCATCTGGAATTCATGGGCTCTCATGAGTTGATGGGTAGATTTCAAGAGATCTATGAACCCCTGATATTACATGTGAAGAATATGTGTGTTTGTATATACATACATGATTCCAGAAAGGATAAAAATGACTAGCTTAGCCTAATTTGTTATAGTCTCATAGTTATTTTTCCTATTTCTAATTTCACCCTTCTAATCTGTCCTCTATCCTGTTGCTATAATGCCTTTCCAAAATGTAAACCCAATCATGGCCCTACTGTTTAAAATGCTGTAACATCTTACTATTTTAAGATAAAATCCAAATTTAGAAAGTTTGTAAAGCCCCTCATATTCTGATTCCTGCCAACCTCTGCTGTCTTTTATGTCTCAATTTTTTTGTTGTGCATCTCAACTCCAACCTGTGATAATTTTTTTTAATATTAAGTTGCTTTCGAATTCCTGGCTGTTCCCTACTTCTTCATCTTTGCTCACATGTCTTCTTTGCCTGGATCATTCTCTTTACAAAGCCTTTTTCCATGCCTCCTGTGACTCCAAGCCTGTCAGATCATCCAGCTGATGCAGAATTGGCCCTTCTACCTCTGTGATAAGAATATATATTATAATGATGCCAGGAACAGTGATGCATGCCTATAACTGCAGCAGCTTAGGAGTCTGAAGTGGGAGGATAGCAAGTTCAAAGCCAGCCTCAGCAACTTAGTGAGGCCCTAAGCAATTTAGCAAGACCGCATTTCAAAATAAAAAAGAATTAAAAACAGGTTGGGGATGTGGCTCTGTGGCTAAGAAGCAGTCCATGGTACCAAAAAAAAAAAAAAAAAAGAACCAATGAAAGGGAAAAAAAGATCAGAATACATATGATACTGAGTTTTATCATATTCTTATATTCCTTCCTGTTGATTACATGAAGTTACAGGTCAATTCATATACTGAACAATACATTTCCCTGAGAATAGAGACAGTACCTTGTTTGTTTTTGTCCCCTCCAGAAAATAACACAGTACTTGGCCTGTAAGGTTACTCCATAAATGTTGCTTGAATGACTTTAAATAAGATATCAGTCTGGATGCTTTTATTACCATCAACTTCCTTTCATAAACTAAAAGAATAAGAAGTAGAAAGAGGATCAGAGAGAGAAAGAGCATCTCAAATAATAGAATGTGATTGCAAATATTTTCAAGGTTGAAACAGAATCTTATGAATATCAAATAATCATTGCAAAGGCCAAGAATTCTAAAATGATGTGAAATAAAGAAAACAATAGAGAATTTTTTAGGTTTTGATGAGAGCTCAAGATAACTTTCTATTGCCTTCATTCAGATATTTACATCATAATATTAATTTTTCAGAACTTCTGAGTAATGTTAAAAGATGTACTAGCCTGAGGTCTATACTGAAAAGTAGAATCAAGACATGAGTGTTTTCTAGAGGATAGGAGGGTCAAGGGGAGACAGGATAGAGTGAGATTGGATGATAGATATCAAAATACTATTACATAGGAGCAATAAACTCTAATTTTCTACAACACAATAAGGTGACTACAGTTCATAATAATTTACTATATATCTTATACAAAACTAGAAGAGAAAGTTCAAGGTTCCCAATACAGATAAATGATAAATGTTTAAGGAAATAGAAATGCTAATTACCCACACTTGGTCATTACATATTGTATACACATATCAAATTATCATACTAGGCTCCATAAATATGTACAATTACTATATATCAATTAAACTATCTGAAGAAAAGGTATTAGTGTTTTGAGCTAGCCAAAGATTAGAGAATACAAAATTGAAATAAAATTACCAGCCTTTTTCATTTAAGGTACATGAAAATGAAATAGGCAATTCTGATTCTAAAATCATAACTCTAAAAGAATTCCTTTACATATAAATCTTGAAAAATAAGGTGAACACCTCAAGAATATGTACCCTTATATTATATTTGTGTGTGGTCAAATATTAAAGGCAGGAAGGGAAAGATGAAAGAAAATATGCTCCATATGCACCTGAGAGGGGAAAAAGAATTTGTAAAAAAAAAAAAAAAATACACTAAGCTCTTGAAAAAGAAATTTCCTACTTGCTTCAGTGAAATAACAATCTAATATAAAGAAGGCATTATCATTGCATCATGCAAATATTGACTGACTTAGCTAATCAGGGCTGTATATCAACAACCTCTTTTTCCCTGGAGTCTGCAGCGACAGTTTTGTGTACTCTGCAGTCGCTTGTGCCTGAGCCAACAACTGATAGAGTACTAGATCAAAGCCTGGATACACAGATGCCAGGCAATTTGGTATTAAACCCACGATAAGAGTACAAAAGAAGTTTCAATGTACTTTCACCACAATTTGAACAGCAAATAGTTAATTAGGTTGATCATAGATGTCAACATTTCACATGATGTCATGGTTCTAGAAGGTGTAACTTCTCTCACCCTGAAGTGGAAAACTAAATTATTTTATTTTTCAAATAAAGCAAATTTGAATACCCGCTTTATTATTAGTGATTTTTCTCTCATCTGAAGCATTTGGTTAAACATAGTTTTAATGATATTTTCAAGGATTTGTTAAATAAAGGGACAGAATATAATTTTATTTGCATAATTTAATTAAGGGGCTTAAAGGTGATGATCCAGTACAGGTTTACACTCAAGGCAAATAATCAAGGCCAAAATTCATTAAGGATTATGGAGATGCTGCTTTTTTCTAGATTTTTTGTGGTTTCTTATATATGTAACTCATAAAATATGTTGCCCAGTCGTTCTAAAAAGAGTAGTATTACAATATATGAAATGTTTTTATCTTCATGATATTTTTATATACATGAAAAATAATCAATCATGTGGTTATTTTAAAATGAATCAAATGTTATAAAATTAATTTTTCTATTTAAGCATCATATAAACAGACCAAAAGAATGAAATGCTTTGAAGTTATTAGACCCCATATCCTCCCAAGTCTCTAACATCACTCATATAGTAAATAAATGAATTCCCAATACAAAATGAAGTACCTAACCCTTAGAGATAAGTTCACAAATTGCATTAATTATATAAAAAGGGAATGAAGCCCTAAAACAAATCCTTCACAGCAATAGGGTATTAGGGGAAATGAAAATAAATATCATAGAGTGGACAGGACCTTACCAAATATGTGAAGTATTACTAACTTTAGGTGGAACAACCACATAGTAAATCTCTAGAATACTACTTCCCTTTTCCAGATTTTATAATAAAATCAATGTATATTAACAGTGCCATCTACTGCTAAGCAATAACACTACAGTGCCCCCAAAATGGCCCAAAAAATCAAATCCACTTTATTAGGAGCATCATCATTACAACCATTCCATGGTGCTATTCTGGGGGCACTATGTCAAATGGATATGGTTATTTATTAACAGCCTCTTTATTTTCAAAAGCCATATTTGCTTCCAAACAGTAATTAATGGAATCAACAATGTAATAAAAAATATTGGAACAAGGATCCAGAGAGCTGTGCTAGTGTTCTTGTTCTATCATTGTTTCACCTTGTTTTCTGACTAACCTTCACCATCCTACCTGGCAATGATGTTAGCAAGGATTTATTTCAGAAAAAAAAATATCGAACCCATCATCATGTGAGCATAATATGAGCTCCAGGATGAAGACTTGAACCATCTTTAACATGCTTTACAAATACTTCTCATACTTACTGAGATTTTCTTAAGTTGTGAATAGGAGTAGTTATTTTTAGGCTATCTAATGTGCAAATAAAATTATCTAGGTGGAAACTAAAATACACAGGTAGTTTATTTAATTTAGAAAATGCCAGTATCTGAGTACTTTAGTAAATATTTCCCTTTGTTTACAGTCTTGTAGATAGAATCCAAAACCAAACTAATGATATTGGAAAAATCCTCAACTCAAGTCTTTTTTTTTTTCTTTTTTGAGACAGGGTCTCACTATGTTGCCCAGACTGCTCTCAAACTCCTGGATCAAGGGATCTTCCCACATCAGCCTCCCAAGTAGTTGGGTCTACAGGCATGTGCCACTACATCTGGATTTGTAAAAAAAAAAAAAAAACATTTTTTAACATCATGATATTATGTACCTTGTAATGTGATGCACTGAGAGAAACACAATATCATTTAAGTAATATTTCTGTCAAAATGCATAACATCAATCTAATCATGAGGAAACATGAGACAAAGCCAGATTAAGAGACTTTCTGCAACAAATTGGCCTGCAATTTTCAAAAATGTCAAAGTTGTGAAAGACAAGAACAAGTGAAGACCATTATGATCCAAGTTTGTTAAAGAGACATGACAACTGATGCAATGTATGACTCTGGGTTGGGTCCTGGAGCAAAGTAGAAAAGTTGGCATAGAAAACATTACTGGCACCACTGAAAGAATTTAATGTGTGTTATTTATTATATAATAGTATTAAATTGATGTTAACTTTCTTGAATTTGATAAATACATCAGTTATAATCAGAGTTAACATATTTCCTGGGCAAAACATCATTTCACTTAGGAAATACATTCTGAAGTATACTGTGATAAAGGGGCAAATGTCTGCTATAAATTCTCAAATGTTTCAGGGAAAAAAAGATGTTTCAAAAAGAGAGTAGAGGAAATCAATGGTAAAGCAAATGAGGCAAATATTTAACAATTGGTGAATCTGAGTGAAGGGTAAACAACTTTTCTGTTAAGTTTGAAGTTATTCCAACATAAAAAGATTAAAACATAGTAGATATATTTTCTTCTATTTTAAATATAAATTTTAAAGCTGGAAGAGACCGAAGAACACCACTTATCCTAAACATTTTACTCCATGAAAAAACTTTGGCCTAAAGTGGCTACTAGAACTTCTGAAGGTTGCAACTCCATCTCCTGGTTCCCCATCAGGCATCCTTCCCAGCAAACCACGCTGACTATAAGATGATAATGCATCACAGGTGCCATGCTAACATTTCACTAAGTTCAGATATGCTGCCCAAATCTCCCAAGTCTTCACAATACAAGAAATTAATCTGCAAACACTGGATCCATAGTTTGTGGAGATGACAATAAAAAGACTTAGTCCTTTCCTTCAGGGAACTCAGAGACTAGGAAGAAGTCATAACCCAACTGTGGCCTTTGTTCTCATTTTAAACCTGAAATTACAGGTAAAGAGGTCAAGTCTTGGGTTAACAAAACTGTTACAAGTATTTTGTATAGATAGTACATTTTGTGGGTTTATGTCTTTTCTTGCATGACAAAAGATGATAGAGTCAAAAGTACAAATGCTAGAACTCTTAGACTTCAACTTTAATACTCCACTTTAAACTATAGGTCTCCTTTTACTGTACGATCAAAGCTTTTCAGAAGACAAGATGAATGAGCCTGTTTCTTTCATTAAAGTACCAACAATTACAGAGAAATAAGAGAGGAGCAGTGAGAGGGAGAGCTGGGGTGGTGGTGGTACAAGCTTATAACCTAGTTAATAAGACAGCCGAGGCAGGAGGATCCCAAGTTTGAGGTCAGATTGGGCAATTTATCAAGACCTGTCTCAATTAAAAAAAAAATGAAAATGAAAAAGTAGTAAGTCAGTCAGCCCCTTTAAGTAATCCACATACTTTTTTTTTGTTTTTGGTGAGACTTACTAATTAAATAGCAAATTCTAAATAAAGTAATAAATACTTTTTAGTGTGTAAACCATTTATTTTGTTTACACCATAACATATATACTTATGTTACCTATTATAGCCTCTAGCAAGGTCTTACTTGATACTTTAATATTAATTTACCCATTTAGAGGCAATAATTGAGTGTTAAAGAAAAAATCACTGTTTTCATTTTCATAAGGCTCAAATGTCTAATTAACCTAGTGAAAATTCTGCAAATCAACCAATGTCTCATCTATATTTGCTTTATCAGCACTAAAATTCTAAGTCACCTAATATCACACAATTTGAATAATAACCCTCCATGTGATTTTTTCCCCCTCCTGAATTGGTTAAAACCTTAATCAACATATAAGTCAAAGACTGTGAAAACATTAAGACTGGATTGGGCCTATGTTTCAGTTTGCCCAGGACTCAGCCTACAGTCAGGAAGGATGAAATGTGTT